AATTTGATATCATGTATTATAACGATTTTCATTAATTAGGTCGGTCCTCTGCTAAAGAGTAAAAATACCTAATTCATCCCAAAATTTGGTTGTTCGGGAGGATATCTAGCCCAACGGCCACCTATGAATTTGATGAAATGATAAAACTCCCTTGATTTGATAAAAGAAAAGAAGAAGTAACTCTTCTTTCATTTGATATCTATTTAATAAAACGATTAGAATTGGATTCTCTCAATTTCTTCATCAAATTTAAATTTGAAATCTGATTTGATGAAGGATTGGAGATTGACTAACTTGTTGAATGTAACTATGTCCCAGTCTAATAATATTTTATCATGTATCTACAATTTTTTTAGTTTTTAGGAATCCACTAGCATTTTCAGGATTATCTTTGGTCAATTCATGTGTGTTGATACATTGTTTTGGAGGGCTATGACTTGTTCCTTCAAATTATTTAATTGGGAGATGATTTTGAGTAGTAGGATAGGGTCTGTCACAATTCAGACATAGAATTTGATACAACGCTACTGGGCAGCTTGAAAGTGAGATGGCCCGACTGGCTCAAATGCCAAAATGACGTCATTTTGGCCAGAAGAAATAAAGAAGAGAAAGAGAAGAGTAGAGAGAGAGAGAAAGAGAGAGCCGGAACTCCCTTCACTCATTGGCGCCGCCATCATCGTCGCAAACCTCTCCACTCATCAGCGTCGCCATCACCGTCACAAATCCATCGCGACCCTCCTCTGTGTGTATACACAGATCTATGTCTATATACATAGATTTGTGTATAGATCTCTCTCTCTCTCTCTCTCTCTGTGTGTGTTCCCCCTCTCTTCTTTTCTCTTTCTCTCTTCTTCCTCCTCTCCTTATTTTCTCATTTTTTTGTTTGTTTAAGAGAGAAAACAGAGGGGTAAAGAAAAGGAAAAAAAAAAAAAGTTGCAAAGGTGCCTTCGAGCCTCAACATTTTTTTGTTTAAGATAATATTTATAATTCATGTTGAAGTGGGTGTAATTAGAGCACTGGAATTAAGACTGTTGACTTGGGAATGTGGAGCACGCCCTAAATCCCCCAGGCAATTTTCTTTGATCCACAAATTTTTGTTTTTAAATTCAATTGTCTTATAAGAAACTCGTCTCTTTTTAACTAAATGTAATTAACTCAATTAATTAGACAAACAACAATGTTAGGTGGTCTGAAAAATCATGGGTCGAATAGCTCAAAACGCTCAAACATCGTTTTGACATATTCAAGTCATTCGACCTACAAAAATTCGGACCACCAAACATTTTTCTTAGACAAAACTTAAAGCCTTTGATGTACTTCTTCTTATTCTTCTTCTTCTTTTAAAAAAAAAAACCTATAGTTTGTTTGGTTTTAGTTTTCAGAAAACACTTTTTAAAAAATTCTATTTTTTTTATCTTTCGTATTTTTTTTTGTTTTCAATGAATTTTTTTAATTTTTAAGTAATTTTTTTAATTTTTAGATACACCTAACATAAATACGCTTAAAAAGTATAATATTTGTGAAAAAAATCTTTAAAAAATCATTAAATATAAAAAATACAAAAAATTTAATACATTTTTTATATTTTTGTGTATTTATTAATTTTTTAAAATATTTTTTCACAAATATTTTACTATTTAGATACATCTAAGTAATGTGCATCTAGAAAAGTAATAAAATTGCTTAAAATATTTAAAAAAATAAAAAAATACGAAAAACAAAAAACTTAATTTTTAAAAAGCTGAATTTAGAAAACTGAAACCAAACACATTAATATTTCAAAAAAAACTTTTATTTTGATTATAAATATTTTACAATTTTTGTTGGCGACTTCAACCCTTAAACATGTGATCAGTTTATAACAAAGGGCATCTTAGAGTTCTGTTAAGTATCATGTAATTCATACCTTGATATTATAGACTCTCGCGTAGTTAAAATTATGAACTAATTAAATTTCTAATTCTAATAATTTATTCACTTTTCTCGACTTTTTATATTTATTTTTTCAAATTCTTACCACATTTAAGATTTAAACACAATTTTAAAGATTAGGTGCTTTTCCATTCCACCAATAACCGTTCCACTATGATTGTTTTTGTTTCAATTTTCAATAACGCTTTTGTTTGGACAGATGATATCTTTTAGAAAAATATTTTTCACATTTTACTGGAGTTCAGTATAATAAAAAACATAAAAGTTAATGAAAAATGTTTATCATGATCAATAAAAACTAAGTTTATTTTGGTAGAAAATATTTTTTACTGTTGAAGGTTTAAAATATTTTCTAAATTAAAATTTTATCAATGGTATTACATTACCATCAACTCCACCACCACACTACCAAGGCCATGGCCAAAGGCACGACAACCATCAATACTAGCGTCATCACCACCACTCCACATTATTACCATTACCACTACTATCACCGCCATTATCACTGCACCACTAATGTTACCACCTCTACTTACCACAATTACAACTATTTAGTACATTAATTTCAAAGAATACAACCAAATAAAAATCTTTTTTATTTTAATTTTTTTTTTTAACTTCTAAAGCAATGATTTTAAATTTTTGGAGAACTTATGTGTAGATTTTAATAGATGGATTTATAGTCCAATAAGTCCTATGAGAATTAATCAGCTTGTTTAATTCTGATTTTTAGAAAATAATTTTTAGAAAATTTTATTTTTTTATTTTCTATATTTTAATGTTTTCAATGATTTTTTAAAAATATTTTAATCATTTTTTTTTTAATTTTTGGACACACCTAATATAAATATATTTAAAAAGTATAATATTTGCGAAAAAAAATTTAAAAAATACACTAAATACCAAAAAATATAAAAAAAAAGAAAATTCAATACATTTTTCATATCTTTGTGCATTTATTAATTTTTTAAAATATTTTTTCACAAATATTATACTATTTAGATACATCTAAATAAGGTGCATATAAAAAAGTAAAAAAATTGTTTAAATTTTTTAAAATATTCACTAAAAACAAAAAAATATGAAAAAATAAAAAACTCAGTTTTTAGAGAACTGAATTTAGAAAATTGAAACTAAACACACTAAATAGTATTTTTCATTAAACACTAATTAAAAAATATTACTAATTGTAAATTTTCAACAACTGTTTGAAAATTTTGTCAAAAAATATCACTAATTATAAATTTTAGCTGCAGTTTAAAAAAATCATCACAAAAAAAGATTATTAATTTTCAATTTTCAGTGACAGTTTCAAAAATTTGTCACAAAAAAGACATTAATTATAAATTTTAACGACAATTTATAAAAATTGTAACCAAAAAAATTAATAATTGTTAATTTTTAACAATATATATAAAAATGCTTTCACTGTAACTTATTTCCAATAGGATTTGAAATTAATTAAGGCAGTTAATGACAATACCATATTTTTGCTGCCAAAAGGCCCAAACCGTAATGAACAGCCCAAGTTAGTGGTTGCATGACAAAACCAGTTTGAACTATGGGCTTATAGGTTTATCTCTCTTATGCCTTAAACAAAACTAGTGTATCCCAGTTCAAGCAAAAAAATAAAAAAAAAGGAATTTTAAATAAATGAAGGTATTGTCTTTTTTCTTATAAAAAAAATAAAAATAAAGCTGGTGCCTGTAATCATTTCGTTTTTAGTTTTTAGGCCTCGTTTGGGAACAGGCTTTTTTAGTAACTTTTTGACTTTTTGACTAAAATGTGATGTAAAAAAAAACTAGTATGTTTGGGATAACTTTTTGGCTTTTTACGAAAAGATGTGTAAAAAGTAGAAAGAAAAAAGAATCTTTAAACTTTTGGTATAGGTTGTTGGCTTTTTGGTTTTTTTAGTAACTTTTTGACTTTTTGACTAAAAAAGCCATTTGCCAAACGAGGCCTTAATTTATATTTACAAAAATTTAAAAAATTATCATAAAAACTTATTTGATAATTTTTTTAGTTTATAAATGGTTGTCTCAGTTTATAAATTCCAAGAAAAAACGTAAACTCAAAATTAAAAATTTGACTAACAAATTTTTTTTTTTCAAATAATTTTTTTTTTCAATTAATTTTTTCAAATATTTTTTTCCCAATTAATTTTTTTAATTAAATTTTTAATTAATTTTTTTTCAATTATAATGTATATGATCCCATTGTAATAAATAATAAATATAAATATTTTATGCTTGAACAAACATATTTTTTAGTTTATATTTTTAATTTTTTTTAAATATTTTGTTCAAATCAAATGCGTTTGTAGTTCATGTTTTTCTAAAAATAAACAAAAATTAATTTATAAAATTTTTGTAAACTTAAGCAAAAAAATGTAAACGGTAACTCTAGTTGACCATGAATCATAAATATAAGAGAAAATTGGATTGTGATTTTTTCATTTTCATTTTAATTTTCCTGAGCTTTTAAAAGTAAAAATAATAAAAAATTTGAAGCATCCATCTTCTTCATAACATTTTTTTTTTTTTTGTTTTTTTCTTTTTTTGAAAGTAGTTTAGAAAATTTGAAAATGTCTTATTGTTATTTCTTAAAAAGTTAGTTGTTTTTTAAAAAAAATATCAATTTTTTTTTGAAAACAGTGTCATTTAAAAAAAAAAAAAAACAGACAGAGAGGCTTTATTAAACTTTAGGCCTTGTTCGACGACTTTCATTTTTTAATCAAAAAGTTAAAAAGTTATTAAATTAGTCAAAAAGTCAACAACCCATATTAAAAAGTCAAAGATTCTCTTTTCTCTCTACTTTTTACACATTTTTTCATAAAAAGTCAAAAAATTATTCCAAACATAATAGTTTTTTTTAACTCATATTTTAGTCAAATAGTTAAAAAATTACTAAATTAACCTGTTCCCAAACGAGGTCGTGTGTTTTTCACAATGATTTATGAATTTTTACTTTTTTTAGTTAATAAAATAAAATAAAAAAATCAGATATAATTAATCAGTGCTGGTGAGCGTTCAGTAGCGAACAAAGTCATGGCCCAATCATAGACACCAGGCCCATCTTCGATTTTTTTTGTGTTGTTTTTGGCCTCAGGAAGGATAAGCACTCTGTAAGTAGCTAGGGTTTGAGATTATCGTCTCTGCGACTCTTCAACAATGGCGAAGAAGAGAACCAGGCATCAGAATCCAGAGGCATTCCTTGCCGATGAAGCCGCCACTTCAACCTCCAAGAAACGAAACAAACCTCCCAAACTCCACCAGCATGAAGAGAAGGCACTCCTTCCCCAAAACCCTCTCTCTCTCTCCTGCTTTCTCTCTCTTCTCTTTACTTATCTTCTCTCGCTTCGCTGTTTGTGCAGTTTATATCGTCCGGTATGAGTTCAAAGATTTTGAAAGAAGCTCTAATTCAGCAAAAGGAAGTACAAGAGGAGGCCGAAGAGCAAAACCCTAATAAGCTGGTTTTTGCCGAAGAACCGGCCTATGATGCTGCGTCGGACGATGAGGAAATCGACAACTTTGGCGGCTTTTCGGAGACTCAAAGCCAATTTGGCGGTTTCGATGTGAGTTTGATCTCTCAAAGTTTTAGAATTTCAGAATTATAGAAGAGAAACGAACTTCAGATTATGTATTGTCGAATTGATTTGTAAATGTTGATGGAATTAATGCTATTAAGCCAAATTGTTCAAAAAAATCTAAAATTTCAAACTGTTCATTTTGTGTGTTTGTGGTAAAGGAGTCATTTTTGTTTATTTATTTTTGATTAGTTTTGAAAATTTTTATCATAGGAAGAGATAAACGAGGAGGATGAAGCGCTACTGGATGCCTTTACATCAAAGAATGCGGGTCCTCAACGCACATTGGCGGACATCATTGTTCAGAAGATCAAAGAAAAAGATGCACAAGTTTCTTCAGGTTTTATCAAACCCTTTAGTAGTGTGTGCCAATAAACTATCTCTTGATTTTAATTATAGATATCTCTCAATATGCTTCCCTCTGTGCAATGGTTTGGTCAATTGACACTGATGTGGGATTCTTGTTTTGGGTCTCTTAAGGAATTTACTAAGTTTAAACTCCATTTGTTTCAATATAATTGTTTTTCCTACAAAATTTTACTGGTTTTTTTTTTTGGTTTTCTGGATTGAAATAAGATGCCACGGTAGTTTGAGCATTATCTCGAGTTCTTGATGATTTGAAAAGTATGATAACTTTGATTTAGTAGAAAGGTTTAGTTTTTCCCTTACTGATTAGGCATGGTTTAATAACTTGGTTTACAGAAGCGCGACCTCTACCCAAATTGGATGACTCCATCATTGATCTATACAAGGGGTACTTTTGCTGTTTTGTGCTCAGTATTATTGGTATTAGTAATTATGAATATAATAGGGGTTGTTTAAGTTGGGTGTAAATGTGACATGCAGAGTTGGCAAGCTTCTCAATAAATACACTTCAGGAAAAATTCCCAAAGCGTTCAAACACATCCCTTCACTGCAGCTTTGGGAGGAAGTTCTATACTTGACTGAGCCTGAGAAATGGTCGCCAAATGCAATGTACCAAGCCACAAGAATCTTTGCGTCCAATTTGGGTGTGAAGAAGGCTGAGAGATTTTACAAGCTTGTCTTACTCCCACGGGTTCGAGAGGATATTCGAAAGAATAAGAAACTGCATTTTTCATTATATCAAGCTTTAAAGAAGTCTATGTACAAACCGGCTGCCTTCAATAAAGGAATATTGTTTCCATTGTGTGAGGTTTGAATTCTTTAATGATGCTCAAGATGAACTGCTGCTATCCTTTAGATCTGATTACTTTGACATCAAATTCCTATTCTTGTTTCGTTTTCATCATAATTATATTTTTGAAGCTGGGCTAGTATTTGAACATTTTAGTCTACCAACATCAAAATTCTTCTTTTTTCTATTTAGACAAGGCTTTATTAAGTTTTTCCAATTATATTTGAGTTAAATGGCTTTATAGGTTTAGGCTTTTCTAAATTTTTTTACTTTTGTGATGCGCAGTCAGGGACTTGCAATCTGAGGGAAGCTGTCATCATCGGGAGCATTATTCAGAAGGTTTCCATTCCCCCACTTCATTCAAGGTATATTGGCTATTTTTCAGTCACTTTAAATTTATTGTTTTAGGCATAATTTTGAATTGCTATAGCAATTTAGTTTAGGCACATTTCAGGCATAAAGAAGAGTACAATATGAGGCTCTTATGCGGGTAATTTCAGGAATGGAAAATAGGAGGAAGCTTAGTGAATACTATCCAAGGTAGAAGTGTACGATTCTTTTTTGGGTGATATGTAGAATTTGTGTGAAACGGATAATTATGCTTAGACAGTTTTGCAAAATAGTTAGTGAAGGATGGTGGGCCTTTTTCCTACAGTGTATTCAGTGTGCTTATTTTTGTAAAATTTTATTATCATATAAAAGGGGGTATAATTGGTATTAAAATTTTGTTTAACAACCAACACCTCACTTTCCTTCTGTTTCTGGTAACACAATCAAACACTACCTTGATATTACAATTACTGTATTGGGAGGCCAGTTTATAAATTTAGACTCATCATATAAAAGGGGGTATAATTGGTATTAAACACTACCTTTTGTTTAACAGCGTCTTTTTAGTTTGCATGTCTATCAATTTAGACTCATCATGCTCCATTATGGACATTCAAATAGATCAAATGGTTGAGGAACTTGTTTTCTTATATTGGTTTCCCCTTCAAAATTCTCACTTGTAACAACTTTTCACTACTTCTTTGTTACATGTGCGGAAATTTTATGCATGTCCTTTTGTAGTTTATGCATCTTTACCTTTTAAGTTTTGATGCCCAGTAAAAATGTTAAACACTAACTTTTCTTTGTACATACAGTGTTGCACTATTGAGGCTTACAGACATGGAATATTGTGGTACTACAAGGTAATGGGGTTTGTATTTTCATTTTGATTATTCATATAGAAAGCAAGTTCTAGAATGGTTGAATAATCAAATGATTGGTAAAATTAATCTATTTTTTTCGTATAACGCTTTCAATTGTCAATTAATTTGGTCTGAATAAAGGTTATGCCAATTAGTGGGGTGTGGGTGGGTGGGTGGCGGGTGTGAATAGGCCATTGAAAAGTTGAAAAATTTCTCAGTTTCTCTATTTGAAAATCTGATGAACTTTGAATAACAGAGAAATTTCTCGTTTTCTGTATTTAATAAATTGAGGACCTTTTAAAAATTGAGAAAACTTACAATTTTTGTACTGAGAAATTTCTTAATGTAATACATGCTACTTGCCAAAACATGAACATCTAGGAGCATGTATTATTAGTGAAGTAGGAGAGTGAATATCTGCATCTCTTGAGCTTTGTTATCAGACTTGCGCTATTCATACGGACAGGGATATCTACTACTTAGTAATCATCTGTTGCAGTAAAGAATGAATACTGTGTGGCCTATAATGAGGAAGTTGGAGGGAGGAAGTTGGAGGGGGGAAGTTTTGAGCTTTGTTTTCTTTCATATTTGTGCTATTCATGCATGGATTGATGTGATCCTATTTTGGGATAGAATCAATGATGAATCACACAATACATAATTTGCTTCATGATTTGATTAACTTTTTTTACGATTCATGTGATTCTTGAACCTATTGGGCCTGACAGATTCCGATAATTTTTATATGTCTTTGGTGAAATTGTCATAATGCAACTTCTAGGAGTGTTTAGTATGAAAGAAACTAATACATATGCTTGCTTTGTTGTTAATTGGAGACCTAGTTAAACCCAACAACTTCTTATCTAATTTTATGGTTGGTGGGTTTTGGATCCACATCTCTTGCAATGAAGTCAACGGCTTTTGAATCAAACAGTGCAATCATGTCTTTATATAAGAAGTATTGCATACGATGTTCAAAAATTAGTTTATTTTATTTTGTTTCATATATAGTTGTTTAACATATATATATATTTATAGTTTGTGTTGAATCTTACGATTTTTGATTCACAATTTGCAAATTTGAAACTTTGAATCACGATATGCTATGAAGCACGGGTACTCCAAAAATGGTGCCGTACTCGTACCGGGTACTTACTAGGTGCTGGTACGCATACCGGTACGGCTGCACGCGTACCGGATACGGCAAACAGTGTCTTGGTACGTTTGGGAGAACTGGTACGGCTTGGGTATGTCGTGGGTACGCCGGGGTACGGCAGAACTCAACTGTTCCGAACACGGAAGAGAAGAAACAGAGAAGAGAGGAGAGAAGAGAGGAGTACCTGGTTTGAAGCTCCGACGGCTCCGACGACCTTCGATCGACCTCGATGACCTTCGATCGACCTTTGACGACCTCCGACGACCTTCGCCTTCTCTTTCTCTCTCTCTTTCTCACTTTGCCTATTTCTCTCCTCTCTCTTCGACTCTGTTTCTCTCTTAGCTATAACCTAGATATAGATATTATATATAGATATATATATATATATATATATATAGTATAAATTATAATTTATATTATATTATTATAACTTTATTTTTTTATTATATATTTTTATTTATGTTTTTATAAATTATACTTATATATGTGTATGATATGTTTTTATTTATATATTATATATATAGCCTTTATAAATTATTTAAAAAAATAGATCAAAAAAATTAATAAATTAGAACACAAAAATTAATAATCAATCATACTTATATAATGTTAATAATCAAAAAAATTAATTAGAACAAAATTATAAAAATTAATTAGAACAAAATTAATAATCAATCATACTTTTTAGTTTTGATATTTAATTTCAATTTGTAGGTTGGATCTTTTAACCATAATTATAAAAAATAAAAAAAATAAAAAAATATCAGCGTAACGCAGCCGTACCCGTATCCTACTTTTTGAAGGTTTTGCCGTATCGGCGTACCCGCACTCGTACCCGTACCGTACTTGTACCTGCACCCGTGCTTCTTAGATGATATGATTCTTAATTTGATAACACTATAGGAAGCCCAAAAGATGTTTGAGTATATGAGATTCTTGATGGATTTCTGAACATATGAAGGCTATTTTAATGTGTTGGGTGGGGCTGGCTTCTAATGCCTGTCCTGCATAGAAACTTGGTTGAGTATGATTTACCTGCCCCTCCAAGAAAAAAAGAGAAAAAGAGTAAAGATTCAGATTCTGATCCTATGCTTTTTAACTGTTCCCAAACATATCTCAATATGGTTGGGACAAGATGGTGTGGTTTACATTAAATTTTGGGTTGATTGCCGTCTCTGGTATTGTATCTATATTTTGTATATACATCCATGTGTCATAGTAGGGGCGGGTCTGTCGTGTCATGTCATTTTGGGTTCGTGTCAGAATTACCTCAACACTAACCCGACGCGTTTATTATTTTGTGTTATCGTGCCGTATCATTTTTGATCCACCTCCGGTTCGTGTCATGTCAAAAAATTGCACTATTGATTAAAAAGGAAAATGTTTGAGGGCCACAATTTTTGTGGCTCAAATGGCTCAAAATTGCCAAAACGACGTTGTTTTGATAATTTTAAAGTTGTTTTGTGCTCAAAACGACGTCGTTTTGGCAATTTCGAGCCATTTGAGCCACAAAAATTGTGGCCCTCAATCATTGCTGGATTAAAAATATCAAGGGGTTGTTTGGGGTGCCCTAAATAAGTGTACTTTTTGTCTTTTTGGACTAAAAAGTTGAGGAAAAAAATATGGATGTTTGGGTTAACTTTTTGACTTTTTATGAAAAAATGTATAGTAAAAAATTGTATAAATAAGTGTGTAGGAGAAGATATTGTAGTAGGCCGTACGGATGGCAGTGCAGTCGGCTGGGTGAATGCATGGGAAAAGATTGCCTTCTTTTTGGGCTTTGATTGGAAGGTGTTTTTCGGCCCGTGGGGGCCCACCATGAGTCCCGTTTTTCTAATCGGAACCATTCAATGTGTATAACTCATCGAGTACTATATGCTTGTAAAAAATCACATCGATTGGATATCGATAGCTATTTGATCGTGTTAGTTTTTTTTTGTCAACTGTTAACTATAACACCATCCATTTTTTATACAAAACTAATTTGATCATGTAGTTAGCGATATCCGATAGATATGATTTTTTACAGGCATATAGTACTAGACGAGTTCTACATATTGAACGGTTCGGATTATCAAAACGGGACCCATGGTGGGCCTCCACGAGCCCAACTCTACCATCCAACTTAGTGAATGTACACATGTAAATTTTTTTTTTCCCTTTTCACTGCAGTGGGTTTCACGTCAGTACGTTGATGCACCAAAAATTTGATTTGTGTTTTAATATTTGTATATTAATTTTTTAATATTTTTTTTGGTAAATAGTGATAACTTTTTAACTTTTTTGGTAACTTTTTGACTTTTTTTCAACTTGCCAAACCAATCCCAAATGTGTGTAAAAAATTTGAAAATTTCTTCACAATGTAAATTTAATGAAATTATTTATAAAAATATTTGATTTCAACTTAATTTATTTTCTTAATTTATAAAAATTATATTTTATTATCATTTTTTTACTAGATTAACTCCGATATAGACAAAAAATACATTAAGTTCAATTAAAAGCAAAAACAAAACCTATATTAAACTTAAAATCGTATTTTATGTACTTTTTAATAAATTGGATGTAATTACGTAAGATTAAAAAGTGTCACGATACTCTTTAGTGGAAAAATATTAAAATGTGTAACTAATTATTCATTATATGGGTTATCTGTGTCAATTTTGTGTTATACAAATTTGACACTAACCTGACTTATTTAATATTCGTGTTTTTGGATTGTGTCATATACGTGTTCGTGTCAGGAATTGGTCAACTTTAACCCGCTAATTTTGTGTGCGGTTCGAGTCGTGTCGCAAATTTCCACCCCTGCCTCATTGCTTTTGAGAATGGATCAATGTTATGTGTTGGTACAATTTTTTTCATGCTTTTAGAAATTTAAGTTTTACTTGTTTTTCATGCCTACCTTTGCTCCAAGAATGCTGTGTGGAGTCATGAGCTGATTGATTTATAGTTATATACTAGTTTTCTTTATAAATTTACCTCTTTCTTTCGTTTTCTTTCCTTTTTCTTCTTTTTTTTTGGGGGGTGATGTGATGGAATTGTTATTTCTTTTGGATAGTTTTTCTGATGCCACATTTTTTCTCCCTCACTGAATGACATGCAAGTTTTGACAATTTTCCACTGATTGTATGATGCAGTTATTTTATAAAGCTATTAATTGAGAAGAAGTATGCTTTGCCATATCGGGTACTTGATGCTATGGTTGCTCATTTCTTAAAATTCCTTGAGGATGAAAGGATAATGCCTGTGATCTGGCATCAATCGCTTCTTGCATTTGTGCAAAGGTTTGTATTATTATTTTTCCCTGATAAGTAAAGGCGCTAGTATACTTATCTTGTGTCTCATAAGTATTTTCTTTTGAATATATCCACCATTATAGAAAGTTCACTTAGCATAAACATTATTGAACTGTCTATGCATCTCTGATTTGGACATTGCTTTCTCTCGAGTCTTTGTATACAATAAATGTTGTAGATGTCGGTTCAAGTGTCTTCAAATTATTATGTCTTCTCTGTCGCGGAAAGAGTCTACTAATGTATCATATCGTAAAATTTGACATACTGTACTTCGTAACATAAAAAAGTAGTCTCCAAATCTCTTATTTTTTGCAGGATAAGTTTTGAGGGAAAACTAATCATAGTGGTAAAGTTAAAGATGTGGGTCTCACAAGTTTTTTGCTAACTGAACAGTAAAAAATTACATGAAACTAAGATTTGTCAGTTTCCTTTCCAGACAACTAAATGGGGCCATAGTGAAAAAGCACTTGTTCTTGGGGTTTAAAGTTGCTTTTCAGAGTTAACCCTGTCCAGCTTCCATTTGGGTGTGCTTGGCTTTGCATTTGGGTTGTGGTTTGTGTGGTTTTATCTAAAGTTTTAGGGCCTTTTTAGTGGGAAGAGCCAAAACTGGTTCTAGGGGCCACAAAATAATAGGATGGCTTTAAACCTTTTAAAAATTCTTTTTCAAAAGTACGGAGGACCACCTTTATATGAGAAAAGTGCCCAAAACATTGTCAAAATCAAAACAAGAAGGGTGTCGTTTTCTAAAAAACCTTAATAGAAGTGGACTTGACCTGATTCATTGTCCTGATTATGACAACAGCCCCTTACGTAAATGGAGAACATACTAACCGTTTCAATCTAGAATGACATATCTGGTTATTTACCAATCTACCTCCTGGGGAGAGAATAAAGAATCCAAACTATTTGTGGACACATTGTATGTGTGCAGAATAATGTTACAAATCATTTGGAGCATATCAATCAATATAGATGTAACAGTTGGTCGGTAAGCTGCAAAGGAAGCCCATAGGGATTAATATGAGGTTGAGATCATCACCCTTCAAATTTTTTGTATCACATTGTCATAGTATCCCATTTTGGATATTGTTCACTGCATCAAATTAAGATTTGTATTTTTTTCTTGATACACTATTCATATAAACTTTGTTATAGGTACAAAAATGAATTGACCAAGGAGGATAAAATTAATCTTTACAGTCTAGTTGAAAAGCAATGGCATAAATTGGTACGAGCTTTAACCCCTTTACAGCGACTATGCTAATTTCTTTTGGCTTTGGTTTTGGTTTTTTGGCAATATCTGACATGTCTGTTTCTCTTCAAATGCAGGTTACACCTGAAATATTAAGGGAGCTAGATAATAGCCGCAATCGTGGTGAAAAGGAGGATGCTCTTATGTTAATATATATCCTTTCTTCAGATTATTGTTCATGTATCTTGTTCTTGACTAGTTAAACACAACATTTCTTATTGGACTTTTCTTGCTATAGGTGATTTTCTCTTTTATTGTTTGCACAGTTGTCAGAATACTGCCTAGCATATTTTACTTGAAATATTATGCTTTAATTTTTTACATAAATTGACGAACAAGAAGTATTTAAGTTTAGAAAACCTTTTGAGTCTGGCAAGGACGTATGTCTAACAGTAACAACCAATTCGTTGAAAAAGTTTGGCACAAAGGCTAGATATAGACTAAAGTATCACGTGGTAAGTGTGTTTCTTGAAAACGGTGATCTACATACTAGCTTTTGGCTAAGTTGTTTGTATATACTTCATGGCAGCTGGAAAGAGTCAATTCTTTTGATGAATGCAACATGGTTGTCTTAGTTATAAGTTTTTTTTATTGAAAAATGTTTATTTTAAACATGCTTGGCTAAGTCTGCTGTTGTTCGTCCAGAATTTTTGGAAACATATTAGAGATCCACAGATTCTGGTTTGATAGTTAGGTCATCCTTAGTTATTCATTCTTAATATGAAATATACACATTCATTTAATTATGCAAGCATTTATTGCATATTTTTCTTTCTGTATATTTAAGTTTTGTATATTTGTCACGAAGCAAAATTCCTAATTATAGTCATTTATCTTTCGTCATAAGATTCAGCAGTTGTTTTTAGTTTCCTTGACTTCTTGTTACCATCTCCAATTTCTGTTATCAACAAAACAATAGAAGAAGATAGGTTTGACATTCCAGATGTGCCAATGGAAGAGGACTGAATATCCATTTAGCACAACTATTCTTGTAGATTTTCAGGTAAAGTTACAGCTATAAAACTGTCGCCCTTCTGTCAAATGCTTATTATTGATCTGTTATGTTGCATGGTATTTATCATCTCCATGTTGCCAGTGGCGGCTTCTTTTTTTTTTTTTTTTTAAATTATGAAATCTTGTGAAATTATTGCTCTCTTCCACTAAGGGTTTGAATTTTCTGTTGCAGGTAGTGGTTACTTCTAGGGTTTCCTTTGGAATGAAATGTGGTTACTAGTTGATTGGGATGAATGTTGTCTTGAAGTAGTTTTTTGGTGAGAATTTTTTTTTTCCCCCTCCAAACCAAATATAAAACATTCAATTTTGATGTGAAGATTAATTTTGTGTCTATTTACATGTTTGATGAATGATTATCATTTCTGTTAGAAATTCTGCTTGATGTGCCTCTATGTTGCCGAAAATTGTGACACTTTCTAAAATTAAATAGTACAATTTTTTTTTGTGATGATGGGAACCTTTACATGGCTGTGTAAATCTCAACAAGAGCAAATTGAAAGCTCTAAAAAATAGAAGATGAATTTCATAGAGAGAGATTTTGAAATTAAATTAATTTCTGTCGGTTTGATGTCAAAAAGAGCAATTTGGAGGTTCATGAAGCTGTTTTAGAGTTTGTTGACTGTCTTTGTTCTTAAAGATGAAGAAAGCTCATGGTTTTGTATATAGAGAATAGGGAAAAATGATGTCAAATGAGAAATGAAAGATAAGAAATAGTGAAAAGTTAAAATAAATAGCTTAAAACTTGGAAAGGAAAAGATGTGTCCCTTATTTCTTGCTCATTCAAACACAATAATAATAAACCATACTTGCGTAAATTTCTCATCTAAATGAGAAATTATAATCTTTCCTCAATTCTTTTCCCAAGAAATTTACCAACCAAATTATAATAATCTGAGATCTTATCATTTTCACCTAATAATAAGATGTTCTAACATACCAGAATTAAATTTCAATCATATATTGTTTTTTTAAATTGTATTTAATGCCCGAATCTTTACTGTAAGATGTTTGGTCTGCATTGTGGGACTTCAACCTTGCACCTAACAAACTTAAAAAAAAAAAAAAAAAAGTCAGCTTTGCCTAACTCAGATATAGCTTTTGATATGTGAACACAATAATAATAATAATAATGTTTAAAGATTGTCAAATTTACATGGTGTCTTAAATTTGTTTCTCTAGGTTTGGCTTAATTTTTTGTTTTTTTTTTTGAGAGGAAAGGCAAAAATAGCATTACTAGCACAAGGCTAAAGCCTTACATAAGCCAACTGGGGTATTGATCACCCAATTGGAGGGGAGAATTAGGGGACAGTCTAATTTATCAATAAGTTTTGCTCTAATTTTCAAATATAATTTTATTATTAAAAAAATATTTTTAAAAAATACAATTTAACTATTCATATCTGTCGCATCATATTTCAATATAAATTAATATAACTAAATTAAAGTAAATCAAAATTCACAAATAAAAATCCAAATGTTCCAATTATTTACCATTTTGATAAATTTCTTGGTATCATTACCAACACCAAATAATCATTCCACAACACAAACACATTTAAAAAGAGTCGAAATATTTTTATTATCAAAATGAGATGCAAAAACATAAATTTACTTTTACTTAGAATTTGTGAGTAAATAAGTCCAGTTTATAGAGTTTGCTCGTAAATGAGGGATGGGAAGATAAGTAATATGACGGGTTTCATATATTCACTTCAATCAATTCTGATTGTTTTGTTGTGATTATATATATCATAAGATTGTTTGGTTACAATAAGATATGCGATGTGATAAGATTTGAAAGATTATGTCTTACCATTGGATAATGGAGGAAAGATAATCGAGAAGGAAGGATTTACAGCCTCAGGGTTGATGGGGATTCAATTGTCCTAATGTTGCGTTTGATTAGGAGATTTTAATAGGGATTTGAAAAGAGAAATGAAAAAGATAAGTGAAATATGAATAAAACATACATATATTTCACCTAATTTCACATACCTTTTTCCTTTACCTGTCCAAATCCCTCCCTAAATCTCTCAATCAAACACAATGTAAAGGTTTTATTTGAATGTTTTTTTTTGGATAAATATAATTAAATTTAATTTTCGTCAAGTCCTATTGAAAATAAATTTTTATGAAATCATCGCTAAACATGATTTTTTGTGATGTTTTTTGCATATCACTAAAAATTAACAATTAGTGACTTTTCTGTCACGCATTTTATAAATTGTCACTAAAACTTATAATTAGTGACTTTTTTTGTGAAGAATTTTTTGAATTGTCGTTGAAAGTTAAAAATTAGAATTTTTTAAAATTGTAACTAAAACTTATAATTGATGACATTTTTGTAATAAAATTTTCAAACTATCGCAAAAAATTAACAAATAATGATATTTTTTAATAGTGTTAGATAAAAAATGCCATTAATTATCATAGGACTTATTGAACAATAAATCCATCTATTATGACTTGCATATAACTCTCTCTCCCCCCCGCAAATAGGGTCACTGCTGTGCCTCAATTTGAAGTATATTATGGGCTTATTTTTATGATCCGAACCATTCATTTTGTAGGGTTTGTTGAGTACTTCATGCTTACCGAAAATTATATTAATTGGATATCAATAACTATATGATTGAATTACATATTTTTTTATGCTATATCTCAAAGGAAAAATTTATTATTTATTTTTTTGGTTATTGATCATATAGTTGTTGATATCTGATTAATATGATTTTGGAAGACTTGAAATATTTAACAAACCCTACAAAATGAACGGTTCAGATCATAAAAATAAACTCATAATCCACCTTAAATTGAAGCACAATAATCACTGCTATGTTAAAAGGCACATAAGTCACCCCATTTCCCCCCTCCTTTTATTCTCATTTAAAAAAACAGTATATACTTGTCTTAACATCGTAGTGTGGTAATGTTTCAACCCCTCTAAAATAAATTCTCTCCATTGAGAATTAGCATAGGTTTTGGTAAATGAATCACGAGGACTTTATGAGCAGATCAGAAGGTTGCTGACCATTGATCAATGAGAATTTTCTTCACATTGTTATTTGTTTTTATTTTTGACAAATTGAAAAGAATAGCAACTTGTGGCAACGGTCAATTGGCAATTGTAACACCGACACCCCCCCCCCTACGCACACACAAAAAAAAAACAAAAAAGAAAAAGAAAAAAGAAAAGAAATTGTAACACCGACCCGACCCCCCCTACGCACACACAAAAAAAAGAAAAAAAGAAAAAGAAAAAAGAAAAGATTCTTCACATAAATAATTTCAAATGCAGAGTAAAACCTTCGTAGTTGAGAATTGACACGGCCGTTGAATAATCATAATTGTTAGTTACTTTTCAATACTCCAAAATTTTAAAAAATATTTGAATTTTGATTAATTTAAATATAGGAAGTTAAATTTTAATACATTTAAAAGCTTGTTAATTTTTAAAATCAAATCAAACTTTGCTTAATAAATATATATTCATTAGTTAAATTCAAATTACTTGAATTCAATTCATAATTGATTCAAATGATAAACAAAAAGAAAATTAAAATATAGTCACATCCTGATTTAAAGTTATCAAGACCTCTTCTAAGGGGGAGGTTTTAGGTTCTACTCTTAAGAGTGGAATAAGAAGTCTTGCAAGGTGTATGAGTGTAAGTTTCAATTTTCTCAATGTATTAATTTAACAATTAACCATTAATTTTCACCGATAAAAAAAAAAGAAAAGAAGTCTTCCTTTGAGAATTGGGTATAGGAAATTGAGGTGGAAGCCTTGAAGAGGCATTATTAGGGTTTTCTAAATCAAAGTAGTCGGCTTGAAATGAGCTCTTCATGTATATACATATATAACTACATTGACTATTTCAAGATTTAAAAAATACATAATTAATCTCATAAATTTAGTATAATTGCATCAATTTTGTTAGTAAGGTTAAAATAATTAAAATTAATATAGATAGTGTGTAGATATAGTGATAAGTAAGGATAAATTATATAAGTGTAAGAGAAATAATAAAGTTATTTTTTGGGTTAATTACACTTTTAATCCATGTACTTTGACTAAAGTTTCAGTTCCTATAATTTTAAATTTAATAATTTGGCTCATGCACTTGAAATCTAGTTTCAATTTAGTTCTTCTATCCAATTTTTGTTAATTTTTACTGTGTGTACACCTTTAGGAGATTGACAAGTGTTCCAAAATTGTTAATTTTAACCTCCAATTTTAACGGAAGAACCAAACTAAAACAAGATTTAAAGTGTAGAGGGACAAAATTGTTCAATTTGAAACTGTAAAGATAAAAAAGTGAAATTTAAGTCAAACAGTAAGGATGAAAAACATAATTAACGCTTATTTTTTTTAATCACTAGAACTAACAAATTACTAATAAAAATGCAGCAACATGTTATATGAATTAAACCTTTAAATGAATTTAATATAATTATATCAAACTTTTAGAGCTTGATGTACTTTTTTTTTTCTTTCAAATTTTAAGAAATATTTATTTATTTATTTTCAATGGAACTTAAGACTTGAACAGTCAATTTGGTCACTTTCTTCAATGTCTCCATTTCAACTGTTTTCTGAGTCTTGGGCAAGTTGGTGATCATGTTGCTTCAACTCTTTAAAACATAAATCACATTATTTTTTCCCTCTATTCTTTTAATCAACAAATATTATGGAGCACCAATTATTGGAGTCATATTCATATCTTACCTATATCATATATCGATATGTCTCGAATGTTTGCATTTATGTATCAAATTCTTTCTAAATGAATCTATAATTAAAAAATAATTTATTTAATTTTTGAATAAATATTAGATATTTTCTACAAACTATTCAACCTATCTTGAAAATAAAATTGAAACATTTCTTGTGTAGGCAAAAAATAAGTTTCTGAAAATACGTTAAATACTGCTTAGAAGACAAAAATTGGGAAATAGTGAGACTAAAACATTCAAATTTAGTTTGTGTCTATGTAATATAACCTCATTATATTCTATATGAATATGCAATACATTTAAAATTGAGATAATTAAGGAGAGATAGATTATTACAAATATGTTTGGAATGAATTATGTTTGTTTGGAAAATGAGAAACAAAGAGGTGAGGCATTGTTGGCATTTCCTTCACCACCCAAAAGTGGAAAGTTCGAGGCTGCAAGAGGATTGGATTGGATGGTCCATCCATATCTTTAGTCTATATTCAAGGCACCAAATTATATATAAATCCATTTCACATCATAGCTATTTTGACTTCTAATGCTATAACCACTAATATCTTTTTCACATCAATAATACTGCAAATTCGCTTTTTTTAATCTAAAATTTATTCATAATTTTTATCTTATAATTCAGGTTTATTCTATACATAAATTTCGCACTATACAAATTAATCTTTACCACACAATCATCCATTTAGAATTTTCTAAATGAAT